CTGAAGTGATTATGAACTTGTCTAAAGTCATTCATTACTTACGAAGTGGTTCCGAATATTCCTGAAGTTATTTTCGTGTGTAGTGATTCCAAACTTTTCTAAAATGATTCAGTTCTTGAGGAAATGATTATGATCATTTATGGATTGATTCAGTTCATTCCAATATGATCCCAACCTTTTCTAGAGGAGAATCATTACTTTTCAAAGTGATTCCGAACAGTTCAGAAATGATTCAGTTCTATCCAAAGTGTTTGTGAACCTTACTGAATAGATTCAGTTAATTCCGTAGTGATTTTCAACTTTTACTGAATAGATTCAGTTAATTCCGTAGTGATTTTCAACTTTTCTGCAGTGAATCAGTACTTTTTTTTTTTTCAGTGCTTTCCGAAGGGATCCCAAATTTTTCAAAAGTAGTGCAGCACGTTCTGATGTAATTTAGAACTTTTATGAAGTGATTCAATATTTTCCAAACATTTCTGAAGTGATTTAGTTCTTTTAGAAGTGATTCAGTACTTTCTGAAATGTTTCCGAGCATTTCTCAAGTAATTCAGTACCTTCCGAGGTGATTTCGATAATTTCTGAAGTGGTTCACTACCTCACGATTGTGACTCCTATCAGTTCTAAAGTGATTCAATATTTTCCGAAGTGATTCCGAATTTTTCAAACGTAAGTCAGTACTTTCCAAAGTGCTTTAGAACTTTTCTGAAGTGAATTAGTATTATTTATAATTTATTCTGAATATTTCTTGGATGATTCAGTTCTTTTAGAAGTGATCTAGCATTTTTATAAAGTGATACAGTCAAGGCACAGACAAACAGACATAACACATTGAATATTTCTCACTGTAAAACATCGTCGCTAAAACATTACCGCCATCTGTTGAGTACACTGTGGTGCAGTGTTGGAAAAGTTCGCGATATTCCACGAAGTTCACCAAGGGAAAAGTTCGCGAGTCATAAGGAACTTTGATGAACTTTTCCATCACTGCTGTGGTGGGCACTACACTGAACAGATGGCGGTAGTGTGTAAACGTCAAACGCAAGGGAATTGACTATGTGCGCCACAGGTGGCGGTACTACCAACTACGATATTTTTAAATTGTCCGTTAAATGCTTGTTATGTCTGTTTGTCTGTGGTCAAGGGGTACTCAACTCTGCACATCTAAATCTGTGCCTAGTACTTTATCTGTGCCAACAGTTGTGCCCAGTGTTGCGCCGAACGTGCCGCATTGTGGCAATCAAACTGTCGGTCTCAGTACCCCATGAGTTTGGCAACCCTGCTGCTATGGCTTTTGAGGTTGTTTGTTTACAACTTCAAGCTCTCATGGATGGTTCATTGACAAACGGAAATGAATGTTATTTTTTCCTAAATTTGCTCCCTAATTTCAAAAGATGGTTAGGTTATTATCGATCATGTTGATAATTGATATATGTAGTTTATGATATTAATATCTCCTATAAACTTCATTTGCAACGGACCGGAGTCGATATCGGTCTTGCCGGAAACATCACACCAACCATCTGCAGCTTACCGCCGCCATGTTGTCTTCTCTGCTGAAGCTGCTGCCATCGTTATCGCTGCTACAACGACCTCGGACTGACCGATCCTGGTCCTCTTGGATTCGCACAGCGTCAAACAAGCCCTGAAATCGACGATAAAGTCCGCGCCACCAAACACGGTATTCTGCTGGGTTCCGGGGCACTGCGGAATACCAGGCAATTCTGAAGCTGACTTTCTGGGCTGGGGCAAGACCATATGCCCCTCGCTATACTAACGAAGTACCATTACACGATGTCAAGCGCTGGATCGTGAGCAAAGTATGGGAAGTTTGGGACGTGAAGTGGGCCCAAAACCGCTCCCTCTACATCAGACGGATCAAAGGGACGATGAGGAAGTGAATAGAACCGTTGAACCAGTGGGATCAGAAGATAGCGTCGCGTTTGAGGACCGGTCACAGCAAGATCTCGCACAATTTCGGTGGTACGCCCTTCCACAGGACTTGCGTCGGTTGTAGAACCCTAAGCCTCAATCGAGCACATTCTATGCCTATGCCCTCAGTATCAGAACCTGCGGAAACTCCACGGGCTACTCTTCCACTTCCACTTTAAACATGGCACCAAACTTGGTACATCTCAATAAACTTTTATAATTCTAGTATTAATCACTGTTACATCAGTATTGACGGATATTTTCATTTGGAGTAAACAAACCTTAGCAACGGGTAAATCGATTAGAAAAACTTCAGCGATCAACAATGTTGCCGTTTTATATAATATTGTTCGTGTCATACGTATCAGCGTGTGCCTTAACGTGCCGAACAGAGTGCCATACTGTGCTTCGGCACAGTGTGCAGAGTTGATTCCCCGAGTTCGTGGATGCAGTACTTTTCGAAGAGAGTCAGAATATTTCCGAAGTGGTTCAGTACATTCCGTTACTCAGTAACTCAGAATATTTTTAAAGTGATTTCGTACTTCCGAAGACAGTATTTAGGAACCTTTCTGAAGTGATTCAGTTCTTCTAGAAGTGAATCCGAATTTTTATGAAGTGATTCAGTGCATTCCAAACTTTTCTGAAGTGATTCAGTGCATTGTTAACACTTGTCTAAAGTGATTCAGTACTTTCGGAAGTGATTCAGTACTTTCTAAAATGAAGTGATTTCTGAAGTGATTATGAACTTGTCTTACTTTATTCATTACTTAAGAAGTGGTTCCGAAAATTCCTGAAGTTATTCAGTATTTTCGAAGTAATTCAGTGTTTTCGGAAATGATTACAAACTTTCCGCAATAATTCAGTACTTTCCAAAGTGATTTCCAACTGAAGTGATTCCTAAATTTTATAAAGTGTTTCAGTTACTTCAGTACAAACTGGTGATTCAGTACTTTCCGAAGTGACTTCGAACATTTTTAAAGTGATTCAGTACTCTCTGAAGTGACTACAAACTTTTCTGAATCGATTCAGTACTTTCAAAAGCTGAAGCATTTCTAAAGTGATTCAGTACTTTACGAAATGATTGGATATAGAATCGTTAATAAGTATATTTAAAAAAAAAGTTAGGCCAATATTTCCTGAAGTGGTTCAGTACTTTCTGAAGTGATTTCGAACATTTAATAAATAATTCAATACCTTCTTAAATGACTTAGTCCTTTCCGAAGTGATTCTGAACTTTTATGAACCTATTCAGTCTTTTTCGAAGGAATTTCGAACATTTCTAAAGTGATAATTACTTTTTAAAGTTATGCAATTATTCAATAGTGATCCAGAACTTTTCGGAGTAATTCCAAACTGCAATGAAAGTATTCAGAACTTCGCGAAGTGATTCCAAACTATACTCAAGCAATTCAGTACTTTCTGAAGTGATTCAATACACTTCTGAAGTGAGTCAGTGCTTTCCGAATAATTACAAACACTAGAATTTACTACTCGAACTGTAGTAAACTAGAACTTACTACTTTTATTCACACGGCACAATCGCCAAATGTGGATCCGGCAAAGTGGTAAAACATCGAATTCGAAAATGGAATCCCATTCAATCGTGTCCTTAGCTGAAACTTGTTTCAACTAGCGGACTTCCAGTTCAAAGACATTTCAGTTAAAGCAACCGGTGGAACCTAACGATTTTAAATTGGCTCACTACTTGACTAGCCTATTGGTCCCAAGCAAACGATTAACGTACCCCATTCTAGTCGAAATTCTAGTACTACACTATGCTTGTTTTGATTTACTATGAAAGTTTGAAAGTTAGCGACCGTTTGCTGTATTCAGAAAGCATTCACCATCTGAAAAAAAAATCCCACTCGTCCGTCGCATTCCGTAGGTAAACAATGACTCGTTTCTTTGAACTAAAAATCAATTACAACACCCACCATTTTCAGATCAATTGCACTTGCCCTTTAAGCACACGTTCGTGTCGCTATTATAGTCACCCCGAATTTTCCCAAAGCCTACTCAAAACGCCAGCGACTCCCAAACTGTTTTGAAATTCAAACCCCACAAAAGTGCAACCACGATCTGCGCGCGCACGCTTCTCCCCGCACCATGCCTCTCCGATGCCGCGCCGCGACGAGGTGCCCCAGAACAGGTTGCAAAAAGACATCAACAGGTCGCGCGCGTAGGCTTTTGCTTTTGCTTTGCGGTACCTTGAGTAAATTTTTTAAACATGCAGCAATAATCAAGTGTCTAAATTTGTTGATCATTTTTTTTTTTTCGCGGAGAGATCTCCTAATGAGTGAATTGAGCGAGTCGAATGTGAGCGAGAGTGAGTTCCAGCTGCCGTGAGTGGTTCGTGTTTTTCCGCGCGATCACGACTTTGGGACTTCAGCCAGCGCAGAGAAATGTGCGCGGGATTAGTTTTCGATAAACAGTGGTTTTGAGAGGTCGAAGAGACGAGCTATCCACACGCGAGTGAGCAGGTCTGCTTTTTAGGTGCATCGAAAACCACGACTTTAAACGTAGAGGGCCGCGGCGCTCTGTTGTGCCCTTGTTGTTTTGAGTGACTCTTTTAGTGGTTTTCCAGCGGTTGCTTTTCTATTTTCTGTTATTTAGTATATTTGAAGTCTAAAGTGCACGGTTTGAATCGCTGGTTTTACAGCTGCAACAACGAAGGAGGAAAATACGTCTTTTTTGTTGCTGCTACCTTTGCTAGCCACGTGAAGTACTTATATATCTACTACGCGCCGACCCATTGGAAGAGCCCACAAGTCGCGGCGCGCGGCATTGGATCTTTGGATCAAGGGGGAAAAAAAGAGACGAAAAATTGTGAAATCGGCATAATCGAATGTGAAAATATCGGTTTTTGCCTGATTTGCTATGGGTTTTAGCTAGGTGAGGGACTCTCTAATAGCGGAGCCAAGCAAAGGCGAAAACCGACCGCGCACTTAGTGGAGGAAGTTGTCGCCGCTGTGGTCCCGCGTCCCAGCGGAGATATCAAATTCAGTTTCAGCTTCAAACTCCTCGCACATTCTTTTCTGCCGATGACTGCTTGGATGAGTAGGCTATATAGCAAGAGTGATTGGAGAGCCGAGAAGAGACGTGCTCAGCGTTGGTGATTGTTCAGCTTTTTGCGCATTTTCCCTATCGTAGAGTGCTTTTGGTGTTTGTGTGATTTTCAGTGCCTACTTGATTGTCCAAAATCTACCCACTTCGGGGAATTTCAGTGCATGCAAAGTTGCTGATTCGATTTGTTCAAGCGGCCAGAGAACCATCAGAAGAAAACAGCTGTAAAAGTGATCATTAACATAGTTTTCCATTTCAGCTGGCTTTTGTTTAAGTGAGGAGTGATAGAGACAGTGCGCGAAGAGCGGCGAAACACAGCATTTACAATCAAATTAAGATTTTGTTTTTCGGTGGCCCGTGAAGAGGAAAACAATTAAGTTGCGCTACTGCGGTCAGTTGATTCGAGCCCAGAAAAAAAACTTGTACTTTGAAGTGAGAAAGCAGGTCGCAGGTTGCAGACACCGACGTTTCCAATCCAACTACACGGGCTGAGCGAGCTTCATCACGATAAGAAGGTAAATATTATGAACTGATCAATAACCTTTTTTCATGACGATTATGAAACTGGAATCTCCGTCGCAAAGTTGTGAAAATTCGCAATCAGACTGTGCGAGCTGTGTGCAGCTTCCGTGTACATTTCTCCATTTTTTTTGTTGCTGTTGCGCGAGCTGCGAGAAAAATGAGGTGCGCCGCGCAGCAATAGCTTGTACTCGAAGCGATGCACCGCCGCCGTTGCCGTGGTGATTACGTGTGGTGTAATTAACTGACACAACTCGCGTACTGGGGTGGAGTGGCAGTGGCCTGGCGGACGACGACGTCAGTGTGTGAGGCCCTAATATTCACCACGGGCAATCATCAAACAGCAGTGCCTACACTACAGAGTGAGATGATGGGCATGACGGGAGTCGGGACGGGCAGGAAGATTAAGCCGCAACATGATGTTGTTACTTAACTAGGTTATGAAGATTTTTGTTTGCGGGAGAATTGTTGTTGATGTTGGTCGCTCGGTAGAAGTGTGATCCAAATGAGGGATGTGGGTTATTACTGTTTGGGTAATTGAAATCATTAGTTAGGCGGTTTTGCGGTGTTGTTTTTTGGAAATGTGGCGGTTTTCTCAATAGGAAAATCGACAAACTTAATTTTTTGGGTAATTGTATTATATGGCAACTATTCAGTTTTTAGATTTTGCATCGAAGATCGAAATTTACGTGGAGCAGCAATTGAGTTGAGAGAATTATAGAAGCCTCGTCTTTCGATGTTTTGCGTTTGCTAGGTTCGTGCTTTACAAGCGTTTAAGTCTCTCCAACATAAGTTTGGATTTCACGTGTTTCATGCAAAGTTTTAATGATTAACTTAAATATTATTGCATATTTTCCACCAAAGTAGACTTCTGCACTAAAAATAATCCCTAAGAATTTTGTTTCGCTCAGTCCAGTAATATACAATAGCAGGGCTGGTAGCAGGTCACTTTTTAGTGACTTGGTCACTATTTTGAAGCCAGTCACTAAAAAGTCACATTTTACTCCAAAAAGTCACTAAAGTCACTATTTCCCTAAAAATAGTCACTAATGTCACTTTTTCACTACTAAAATAGAGTGAAATTAAAAAATATCAACGAAATGCTTAAATTGGGTACTTGGCACTAAGAAAGTCTAAAGTAGTTTTAACAAAATATACATATCTGTTGAAAAATTGGAAATTTTAACCAGGGTGACCAGTGAACCACAAAACTTTAGAACACCAGGAAAACTATTGGGAAATGCCTACAATTTCTATTATAAATCAGGAAAAATGTATCTCCTTTCTAAGAAAATAAATTGTAAACCTAGGAAACTTACCAAAGGTATTTGTCTGTGATAGATTTTCAAAAGTTTTTCAGGGTGATTGAGAACTTTAAAAAATCAAAAGTAAATTTAAGAGAATTTTAAAGGATTCTAGGGATGACACCAAGATATATATCAGAGAAGAATACCAAAGTACAGACTACGACAGTCTCATGTAAAATTAAGTGCTCTGAGGACCGATTTCTTTATCTCCGCTTAAATCTTGAGCCAGGTTTACCTACATAGCTAAACTTGGCTTAACACATACGAGCGTCGCTTTTGATTATTGTTTAAAGTATTAGAGACGCAAAATTTAGCTCCGAAACAATTTTGGAAATAATTCCAATATAATTGAGAGTGAATTTTAAGGAGAGTTCTGAGGATTCTAGGTCCAATTCTAATAAGAATTCAACGTTATTTCTGAAATGTTGCTTAAGGGAGCTTTGATGAAAATTTCATGAAAATCCCGTGAACTCCAAAGATGGTCTCTACGGATAGTTCTAAAAGCATTTTGGGGTGATTTCTGAAGATACTTCCAAGAAAATTCTTAAGAGTTCGAAATAAATTCCGAGAAGAATTTTGCGGGTTCAATCTCAAAGGAATTCTGAAAAGATTTTCAAAGTTATTCTGTGATGGATTTTTGTTATGAGAATGCTGAGGAAATACTATGGGAATTTTAAGGAGAATACGAATTGAATTTCCAATTGAATGCAGGGGAGCAGTCCAAGATTATTCTAAGCAAAAATTCATGAAATTTCTGAGGTCAATTGCATGGAAATTCTGGATTTATGGATTCAGGGATGCTTAACGTCAATTATCAGACTTAAAGTGGAGATTTTATACAATAGATGAGGAGATTAAACTATAGAGTTGATAGTTCCGTTATAGTACGGCAGTGTGAAAATTGTGTATGGGTCATTCCGCGCCAAGTGTACACAGCACATGAAATTGACCTCTTCCGATTTGGACCAAATTTGTAGGGAATGTTCATTTAAGTTTAAATTTTCAAAATTCAAAGTTTTATGCTAATCGGAGCTCCCCTCGGTCAAGGGGCGCATTTTCCATTTTTCGTGAGTCTTTGGAAAGCACTACTTTCTTTTGTTCATATCTCCGGAACAAATAAAGCTACAAATTGTATTAGGTATTGTTTTAATAAGGAAATCAGACAAGAAACCTAAATATGTAACTTTTGTTTCTGTACAGTGTTGCCATATATTTTTTATTTTTGTTTGAAAACTTTAAATGCAGTTTTCTCATAATACGTGTTGTTTAATTTTCATTTTAAGGACACCATCGTGTTCTTCATTCTTTTTTACATAAGAAACACATAACGACAAAAAGTGATTTGCGTAGTTCCTGAGATATTGCATTTTGAATGAATGAAAGTCATAAATTATGAGGGTAAACCTTTTTTTTTATTTTTTTTTTTTCCATTTCCTTTTCATAAGTGGATTCATTATCATGACTTATTGTGTAAAATAATATTTAAAGGAAAAAAAATCTATTACATTACCAAAAACAGTGTTGCCAAATTTAAATATTATTTAGCGACTAAAAACTTTAAACGTGATTTTTTAAGTTGATGCATCTAAATATTTGGTTTGATTGCACCGTCGTATCCCACAGCATTTTTACATAAGATAGACTATCTAAAACAAAGTTCAATGCAATGTAACATTTTCGGAAAACAAATTAAAGAAAAGTGTTTTTTATTTTTCTGATGCATTTTCTAAAGCAATGGAATTAATATCTAAACCTATTATTTTAAAAGTTTTCAGAAGGTAAGTGCACAACGGACCTAAATCGTTAATTTTTGGTACAAGAACGCCAAAATAACTATTTATTAAGATAAGACATTTTTTAATTTTTTTTTATATATTAGGCGTCTATGTTTTAAGCATCTCTGGCGCATCTGTCTAGTTTATTAGAAGTTTGCAGATACCGAGTGGAAAATGGTGTGTTCTATTCAGGGGGTAAGCCACTTTGCCACCTTGTGTTAAACACATCAAAAACACTCTTCGACACTCTTCGACACACTCAAACACATGAGAACCAATTTTTCAATCTTTTCTGGCAGCACTGCCATTCATTTGATGTCCTTTTTGTTTTTGTTGATTTTTTTTCTGAAGGAGGGACCTCCAGAAATCGGTAGGATTCCACAAAAAAAACTGATCGGGACACCGAAGTAGCCCTCACCCCCGCAATTAGGAAAGAAGATTCAACATCAAGCTCAACATTGAAAAACAGACAATTTCAACCTCTAACAAGCTAGAATATCTGTAACTGTATATGAATGAAGCGGATAATAACTATCATATCAATTATTGATCGATAGCTGAAGACAGATATTTCTTTCTAATGTGTTTGATACCCTTTCGTCGTGGATTTCATATACACAATACCAAATCAGAGAGATCCATCCTACTAGCTGCCGCTTACAAATAGGTTCGTTTTTTTTTTTTTGCGAAATTTAGATCCAGAGATTGCTTAGAAAGGGGCGTGCTCGGTTTGGTTATCTGGGCTTGATTGCGACTGGAATTCGGTTGGGATGGATTCGAGAGGACTTTACTGGTTTGAGCCAGGATGTCAAGCATCATGACATCAGAATGCGAAGACTGAGGGAGTACTTTTTGAGATCGGAGTGGACCTGCAGACATACATACACAGCACATTCTTTTAGATAGGTGTTGCGGATGACGATCAGGGTTGCGAATTTGAATTCCTGTAAGTTGTTAACATTGACGTGTGCATTATTTCTGAAATTCCGTGCTTTCACTGTGAATGATTAAATTGGTAAATTTTTGGAGAGCAAAAAAAAAAGAATTCTGATTATAAACAAAAGTGGATGTAATGCTAGCCAGTAAGCATTAATTTTCAATAAACGTTTTAACAGATAGGTCTACATGCAGAAACACCCATAAACACCTTCCGACACCCTAAAACACACAAGAAACACAATTAAGTGGGTAGATCAGCTTTTCGTGGTACGTTAAGGGATGTAAGATCTACCACCGATTCCTAGTCCTGACTACTTCAAACTAGGGGAACAGGATGTTTCAGTAATCAAAGGAACACATCTTAGTCCTTGTTACTTTTTATGCCTTGTTGATAGTGACAAGACTTGGCTTTGTCCACCGAGGATGATCTTGAAACAAGGAAAAAATGAGTTAGTTAGTCTTCATCTATGTGATTCCTAATCTTCTATTCATTGTTCCCTAATTTGAAGTGCTTAAGACTAGGGTTCTGATGCATGGTCAATATCGGTGTCATTCCTTAATTTTGTTGCTAAGGAATCCAATTTTGACTGACAAAGGGGCGTGCCTTTGGAGGGTGTTTCAATACTCCGAAGGGTATAAATAGCGGGACCTTTCAATTAGAGTTGGATCCTTGAGATAAATGCAAGAATGACAACTTTAAAAAAATCGAATACTTCATCATTTCTCAATACTGATGGAGTAATGCGACATGCACTAAACTAAGGACACGAGAAATACTACAATAGATCAAATTACTGGTCGCAGTGGTGTAGGTCCCGAACAGTGAAACACAATTACAAGCTTCGTTCTGGTGTTACGGAACTGAAAAGTGTTTGTGATGGCCATGCTAAGCAATATGGAGACATGTATGCGACAATGCAACAACAGTGCTGCAACCCATTGAATCTGCATACAGTTATTCGTCGCAAGAGTTTG